TCATAATGGGTGACTTTTCTCACTGCGTTTTATATCATCAGTCCTGATTCGTCATAAATAACTTGCACCCCCCCCCCCCCAAAAAAAAAAAAAATCGCCGTAAATTTGATATTTGTTTGAATATTTGTGGGAGTCATTGTTTATACGTCATTATAGAATATTAAGAAAAAAGTTGTTGAAAGATTAAACATTCAAGGGAATTTGTAAAATTGCATATGTATATAAAAGCGGCAGATTGACATATTTTATGGTCTGGTGATTTTAGAAGGTTCGACAATATTAGCATAACTGAATTCAGTTAAAAAAACCAAAGGAACAGGTGCTATTATTTTAACCTGTCAACAAGGTGTTTAATTAATGTACATTCATGGTGCTCTTGCAGTGGTACTGCCTATTAAACATGCTTTAAACAGATATTAAACTAATTACTGAGAGGAGTGGCTGGGCATTATAAGGAGAAAATATCTGTTTTTTCTTCCGCCTTTAACATATTTCATGTTTAAGAATGCGTTGCAATTGGCAGGGCTTACGACAGGCTAGAAATTTCTTGATCCTATCTTCACATGTAAAGTATGTTTTGGATGGTTGTGAAATTTGACCTCTGCCAAAATTTTGACCTTCCAGTGTGGTGCTTTTGACACCGGCGTGTTCTGGCTATTGTTAGTGTATATCTGGCCGATCGAAACTGTTTACACTATTGAACTCTGCTGATAAATGCTGGCAAGAAACCATTCTCTATATGACATACATAGAGCTGTCAATCATTCGAGCAAGGAAATACAGGTGTATGAGGACGGGAGTGACTGTTTTCACCTTTACCGGGTAGTTTTTAAGAATGCTTGTCAAATGGACGGTGACATTGCGAACAGTCATTATGGGTTTGAAGTCGTGGTTGATTACAGAGATAATCAGGCCTTAGTACTACTGAAACAGTCTTAATTTAGACCTAATTGTTCATGAAATTAATAGTCAAAAGACTTAAACAATTATATTCATGTTCTAACTATTTTAACATTTATTAAAGACATTCTTGTCATTCCTGCTATATACCTGTAGGCCAGCTCACTGTCATTGACTTTCCTTTCGTTACAGTCTAAATGCCGGTGTTATCCGTTGTAAAACATGGGTTAAACTTTAAAGATGACGAGAATTACCTGTTACATGAGGTAATTGATCAGATGATGTCTTAATTAATATTTCCGATCGAGCCATAAATCAGTTTACGGACAACTTTAAAGGTCGTGAAGTGTCATGTCTGACATTCCTCCGATACCACACGCTCGAAATCATTATTGTAAAGTAAAGTCACTGTCAGAAATTGTACATAGATCAAGGAAGGAAAATGCATTATGCATTAATAGTTGAGGTAATATAGAGAATATATTGTAAATAAAGTTAATAAAAATTCATGTACTCTATTGCTATGTAATTGTAAATAATTGTCGTTATATATCATAGATGTGAAAAGTAAGAACGATTGACGCATTTCATCACATGTCATAAGCCAGTCATTTCTTCACAAAGTTAAGTACGATTGACTCAGTTCCTCAGGTCGTAAGCCAGGAATTTCTGTACAAAGTTGTAAGCCAGACGTTTCTGTACAAAGTTAAGATTGACGAAGTTCCTTTAGGTTGTAAGCTAGTCATTTCTTCATAAAGTTAAGTACGATTGACTCAGTTCCTCAGGTCGTAAGCCAGGAATTTCTGTACAAAGTTGTAAGCTAGACATTTCTGTACAAAGTTAGGAACGATTGACGCATTTCATCACAGCTCATAAGCCAGTCATTTCTTCACAAAGTTAAGTACGATTGAAGCAGTTCCCCAAGTAGTAAACAGCCATTTCTTTACAAAGTTAAGAACGATTGACGAAGTTCCTTTAGGTTGTAAGCCAGACATTTCTGTACAAAGTTAAGTACGATTGACGCAGTTCCACAGGTCGTAAGCTAGACATTTCTGTACAAAGTTAGGAACGATTGACGCAGTTCCTTAGGTCGTAAGCTAGACATTTCTGTACAAAGTTAGGAACGATTGACGCTGTTCCACAGGTCGTAAGCTAGACATTTCTGTACAAAGTTAGGAACGATTGACGCAGTTCCACAGGTCGTAAGCTAGACATTTCTGTACAAAGTTAGGAACGATTGACGCAGTTCCACAGGTCGTAAGCCAGACATTTCTGTACAAAGTTAGGAACGATTGACGCAGTTCCACAGTTCGTAAGCTAGACATTTCTGTACAAAGTTAGGAACGATTGACGAAGTTCCTCAGGTCGTAAGCCAGGAATTTTTGTACAAAGTTAAGAACGATTGACTCATGTCGTCATATGCCGTAATTCAGGAATTTGTATTTAAAGAATGATTGTCACAATTCGTCACAAGTCATAAGCCAGCTAGTTGTATATAAAGTAAAGTGATTTTAGCTATTCGCACATACCGTAAAGCAGCTACCTGTGTATAAAGTTAAGAACGATTGCAAGATTGTCACAATTCGTCACATGCCATCAGCGAGACAGCTGTGTATAAGATTAAACAATTGTCACAATTCGTCCCATGCCATCAGTCAGACGGCTGTGTATAAGATTAAACAATTGTCACAATTCGTCACATGCCATCAGTCAGACGGCTGTGTATAAGATTAAACAATTGTCACAATTCGTCCCATGCCATCAGTCAGACGGCTGTGTATAAGATTAAACAATTGTCACAATTCGTCCCATGCCATCAGTCAGACGGCTGTGTATAAGATTAAACAATTGTCACAATTCGTCCCATGCCATCAGTCAGACGGCTGTGTATAAGATTAAACAATTGTCACAATTCGTCCCATGCCATCAGTCAGACGGCTGTGTATAAGATTAAACAATTGTCACAATTCGTCACATGCCATCAGTCAGACGGCTGTGTATAAGATTAAACAATTGTCACAATTCGTCACATGCCATCAGTCAGACGGCTGTGTATAAGATTAAACAATTGTCACAATTCGTCACATGCCATCAGTCAGACGGCTGTGTATAAGATTAAACAATTGTCACAATTCGTCACATGCCATCAGCCAGACGGCTGTGTATAAGATTAAACAATTGTCACAATTCGTCCCATGCCATCAGTCAGACGGCTGTGTATAAGATTAAACAATTGTCACAATTCGTCACATGCCATCAGTCAGACGGCTGTGTATAAGATTAAACAATTGTCACAATTCGTCACATGCCATCAGTCAGACGGCTGTGTATAAGATTAAACAATTGTCACAATTCGTCACATGCCATCAGTCAGACGGCTGTGTATAAGATTAAACAATTGTCACAATTCGTCACATGCCATCAGTCAGACGGCTGTGTATAAGATTAAACAATTGTCACAATTCGTCACATGCCATCAGTCAGACGGCTGTGTATAAGATTAAACAATTGTCACAATTCGTCACATGCCATCAGTCAGACGGCTGTGTATACGATTAAAACAATTCTTACAATTCGCCACGTACCATATACACGGTATACAAAATTGTGAACGCTAGTCGCATTTCGTGACATACCATAAGTCATTTATTTGAATTAAAAGTCGCAACTTGTATATTTAGTCACTCGATGGCCGAATGTGTATGATCGTCAATTGGCATTACATTACGTACAAAATGTAGTAATACTGATTTCATTTATAATTATACATATTTATGATATGACGTATTATTTGTGAAGATGGTTCGTATCTTAATTACATGTATAAGGTAATCTGTGTATGGCAAGTCGGTCTTACTTTTTTAGTTAAACGTACAACTTCAGTCATTGTATAAACCAATGTATTATAACGTGATTGTGTAATTTTTAACATACCAGCGCCCATCTTGGAAAACTGATGACAGGGTGGATTGCAATGTGTAATGTGTGTTTGACAGGTTCAATGAGACAAGTGTGGGAATGGAGTGCTCACACATCCGCGTACTGACGTTGTGCTGCAGATGGTATCCTTATTCAGTTGATACCCAATTAGACTATATTAACTAATGAAAATCGGATAACATTGTCCCAGTATTGATATGCATTTATCAATCCGAATGACATTTACAGCTTCAAACTTTAATGGGAAGGCTGAAGGGCAACTTGTGCTTGGTTGCTTGTTAAATGCTTACATTCACTGTGATAATATCGAAAGGATGCTTAACATTTTAGTGTGGACCAATTTTCTATTTCGATGATTTGTTCAGGTTTTATGTTTTAATCTTAGAAGATATCAAACGATTGTGGTTTGTGTTGTTACACCTGTTGGCGATAGGTGAGGATGTTGTAGTCTAACACCTGTTGATTGCTGTATGACAAGATGTAAGACAGTTTGACATTACATTGGGTTCTACCTGGGCCGACACCGTTGTCAAGGTATAATCATGTTCAGGTGTTAAATCTGTTTGATTCCTCGGTGCCTTGCATCTGGTGGGGACAATACGGCCATGTTTGTGATTATCAGGTGCCCCGTACACAATACTGGCCGTGTACCTACAGAAACAGGTGCGGCTAGAGTTTCAAGATGATTGATAGATTTAAACCCGACTCACGACAACAGACGTACCAAAGCCCGTCCCATTTCATGTCTCTCAGAAAACATTCAAGTCATTGCCAGCTTTGTACTTTTCTTTATGATTTATTATAATAATATAAAAGTGGGTTAAAAACTTCTAAATCCACGGCGGGTAATGTTCCCTAAAAGCGGTGTTTGAACGAAAATGCACTGTTTCGTCTTTGGTTTGCATAGTCTCCAATAAATAGAAGGTTTTTTTTCTGCTGACAGCTATACATTGTTAATTGAAATTCATATTTTTATTCCAAATGTTTAGTTTGTTTGATAATGAATAAAATGAAATTCGATCTTGTAATTTGTTTTGGAAATTGACAGTAGTGATTAGAGGCTAAATCCAATTTGATTGAATTTCATTGATATAGTCATTATTCAAAACACATCTATGTGAAATTCAATTAAATGTATTTTTAACGTTTAATTGTTGCAGGTATCCTCGGACCGGATTGTCAGCTGCAGTGACGATGGGACAATTCGGATCTGGGATCTGTACGACAGTCGGAAACAAAACGGCGGTGGATATATGGGCGATGGTTGACAGACCAATACTGCTATTGTATCACACGAACCATGATCGGCACAGGTGTTCAATAGCAGATTGAAATCTGGCCGAGTAGCGGTGCTGAGGGCTAAAGTGCCTCTGCAATAGTTCTCCATTCTTTTGATCTGAGGTGCGATATAGTATCATTGCCAATATAGGGACCCTAACCAGGATTTACTCCTACACACCTGGCTCACCTATATACAGTCTCATATATACACAGATTTTGTCTTTGGTCTGTAGATCGATCAGGATAAACTTCCTTGGACTTTTATTTAATTCATTCTTATGAAAGAAATTCTCTCCACACATTTCTTCACTAACTACTCAAACGCTGAAAGATTAAATTATATATAGTTTAAACATTTTAAAGATAATAGTGTATTTGATCTCGTATTTTTTTTCAGCGAATTATATCGCGGATATTACCTGTTCTGTTAGATATGAAATAACAACAGAATCGCAATAGATTTTTGCTTCAATATATGATATTTATATATGAATGTTACACATGATAAACGGTTCGTTTGGTGTTGAATTGTCATTTTACCCAGACAATGATAGTGATTAGGAATCAGTCCATATAACTTTGACATTAGTGTTAGTCCTGTATTGTTTATGAACAGTTCCCTCTCTATCACACAAGTCTGTGAGGATAAGAAGGGAATAATGAATATATTTGTATATGAGCATATCGTGTACTGGAGAACGGGATACACCGACGTGTGTATGTTTTGTTGAAGTTATGTGTAAGAAAAGCGATCTTTTGATAAACTGTATACATTATAAATTCTACATACACCTCCCTAAATGTTAATAGCTGCAATAATACCTATCAGAACGTTGCCTTACAATATTAGAAATGTACACCAGTACGTTGTTTTCTAGCCTGTCGATGTTTCATTCGAAGCCTGTTGATTACAATGTAATATTGTGTCTGCTATGATAATTCCATTTAAACATGTTCTGCCTCTGCGTCGTTCTCTTATCTCCTGGAACAGCATTTTACCTTCATACTATTGGTTTTATTATAGTTTTTTTATATTATCAATGATAGCATTAAACTTTTTATCAATTTTGAATTCGTTCATTTAGCAGGGGTACTTGAGATGTACCTGCGAAGAAGAGCAGAAAGATAAGGCTATCGGCTCTTGTCTATAAGGCTCTGTGTATATTACAATCCAGTTGCGTGCATTGGACAACAACTAACTCAGAAATTCCTTTCAATGCAATTTTCGCGGATTCTGGAATTAGGAACATATTTTGCCGCTTGAATGTAGTGCGACTCCGGGCATCCAGCACACTTTATTTTAATTCTTGACAGGTTAAAGAATCCATGAAGATATTTTCCATTGCTTGTTGTCTCTTTGTAGAACTTATTTACGACTGTATCCGCAAGTCATTTCCATTTTATCTAGTCATATCTTATCAGTAGAGAGTTTCATCTCCAAAACTTGTCGCTTTCAATGTTAGTTTTTAGTTCAAACAATTTACTGTGGGAGGCAAATTCGTTTGTAATTTGTTCTATATCTCAAATCGGGATACTTTTAATCTAAAACCCATTAAAAGGGTTTATATATTTTAACTTGTGATTTTTGTTATTATTCAGTTTTGTTTCAATCTATTTCCAATTGTTGTAAACTCTTAAAGGGTTTCCTTGCCAATGAAATGGACGCTTGTCTCGCTCAAAATATGTAGCTTTAATTATTAAACTTTTCACATCGACATACATATATGACTTATGATAATGTAGCACAGGTGCGTTGATTACAGGTAGATAGCAGTCAGCTAACTAAAGCATTCACGTACGTTACATTATGACGTATTGAATAATAAATTTGTAACATTATGTTTAGTCCTGATGTTTAGAATTCATTGATTGTTTGATATTAAAATTTACAGAATTTCATGCTGCCAAAAGCATACTCATAATAAGATTACAGAAAGGCACTACTATTTCCAATAAATGTAAAGACAATTTGAAAAAAAGTATTTTAGTGTCTACACTACAAGTAACACATTATTTTCTGAATGCAGTGCTTTACGTCAGTAGACAGACATTCTACACTTACGATTATGAAAGGTTGAAGATTGTAACACAGATTAGTGCATTATATTGTTGTTTCGCTCATACATGTATAATGTGTTTAATTTATTACATTGTCTATTTCATACATAGTGAAATACACTTTAATACACGGAATACATTGTATGTGCCTTGTCATACAATGTAATGCAAGTAAATACATTGTATAGACATCCTGTTCATATATAATTTATTTAACTTTTTAATACAGTGTAATACAATATAGTACATTGTACGAATGCCTTGGTGACCTATTATATCTATAAATGGCTGGATGTCGCACCATTTATCAATATTAATACATACAGGTGCCTTTTGACCATGTTTTGAATGTTCTAGCGAGATTTCTCTATTTTCTAAACCGTTCTCCACGGTATTTTATTCTCGTATAAACATTAAGAAGAAATCAAATATTTTCACGTGTTAAAGGTTGGTTTATACGTAGTTAGAGTTTAGTTGCACGTGCTAAGACATTGTAATGAGAAGTAAAACTATTGTTTTATTATCACTGCATGTCTTGTCCTATCTGTGATATAATGTATTGTGATATTGTGATATGATTAACTCTATCAATTCAGATATTTTTTTTATTTTTTTTCCTCGTGTTTTATATCTTTCATTCGTGTTTACTTGAACTGTGATATTTTTCGAGGTATGTCTTATAGCGACTAGACTGTGTGTATATATACATATATATTGTATTTTGTCATTTTTATAAGTTAAGGTCACTCGTTTGCCTGTGATATACCGTCATTGAATTATATATGACGTAAGGAAAATTTTGTTTTTAAACATCTCTCTGTGACACGTCAAGTATTGATCTATTTTGTATCAACTTTATTGTAAATTGACTCATGGAATCTGATGTCTTTTGAAAGTTGTTATGTCAATCTGAATCACACAATTTTATATTTAGGACACACGTCTCGCATCATTTATTTATATTCTACATCTACAAATTTGAATTACATAGAACAGTTTTGTTTGTGTGTTTTGTTTTGAAGTGATGGCTGTGTGCGAACAACGGGACATGTAATCCTGTGAGCTGTAATATCTGTAGCCAAACCTTTGTAGTTGATTAACTGAGATTCTAAAAGTGTATGACCCTGCTTATCTAAAGACTCGTTTCCCTTGGTTACTTTTTGCCGCGTTTTCGTAAACACCCAATTGGATTCAGTGCTTGATCGACTTGAAAACTCGTCACGAATTATACTGTGATCTAGCCTATTTATAATCAGTTTATTTGTGCATAACTTGATTAAGAAATTCAAGATGTCAATTTCTGCTCGTTCTGTCCTAATTAAGAACTATCTCAGTCCTGTCCTTGTGTTAACGTATGGTTTGTTTAAATTGTGTAGGACTTGTGTTAGTCAGCAGTGTTAAGTTCTAACTTCCACCTCACAACAGTACGGGTATACAAACGCTACTGACTAAAACGCCTTATAGCTGCCTCTACAATATGTCCAGGTACCTGTACTTTGGAGTCTGTATCGCTAGCTGTGTTTCATGTTATGCATGCGTTCGAATGGTCAGGAGAAGTCATAGGATTCATTGAGGCCTGCTCAAAAGTATAAGCTTCCAGGGACGAAATTCATTGAATGCTTATCTATGGTCATGGATTTGAGTTCATTAAATTCCGTTTAATATTCCAATTCAATATATGTGATACTGCATTAAGAGGGTAATATTGATACATTTGATTGATAAACATCATTATTTTCTACGATACTATCCGTAACCGTAAATATTATACCGTGTATATGAAAGTACTTTAAAGTTGTGATTTCAAATGATTCCATACTCCCACTGGATACGAATGTCATTTGGCACCAGACTTAAGTTTCACTTCACAAGTCGTCGACTCGAAATCCTTTCTCTTATTTATTGGCATTCGCAGTATGACAAGTTTGCATAGGTTTCATTTGGTGAAGACACTATTGGTTTATTGCTTAATATTGTCACGGATGAATGATTATATCGCTCGTCACCAGTATTACTTTTGAAGACCATCGTATCCTGCTCTGATATTAAACTTATATTAGGCGTGTTTTGAGTGTTGCTGTTGGTTTGTCATTACAGTTTTTGGTGTTGCTGTTTACGGAATCTCCACTGTATTTATCCGAACATCTCGTGTGTGTTTTGTTGTTTACACAAATACCTCTGCTGAAAAGGTATTATTCTGTTGACACTTTATCTATAGTCTATTAACGGTAGATCATGTCTATATTATTACAAAAAATTAATGAAAATTGTTTTGTTATTACAAACCTAAAATAAAAAAGACGTCAATTGCCAACTGAGATAAATAAAATCAAAATCGTGTTTAAATTTTTTTTTTAATCTCCACATTTTTCTTGCCCTTTAAAGAGATAAACGAAACTTGTAAGGTTTTATGTAACTGTGAAAGCATATCTCTGGCGAAGAATGTCGATATTGTTACAGATATGTAAATCACGTTCAAGGGCTGCTGTTAAAAGTTTGTGAAAGATAGCGATGTTGAACTGGTATAGATTTTTTTTCTAGCAAATATTTCTGTGATGCATGGAAAGACTTTCTAGGGTAATATTCTTATTAACACAGAAATGATGCACGGATCATATTAAAATGACTATAGTATCTATTAAACCTGAATAAAAATTAAAACTACATACCAACCATTTTGTTGTGATTTATAGAGATTATTTACTCAATAGGAAGCATACAAAAGTGAGTAAACAAATCGACCGGTCTGATCGAGTGTGTTTATGTCATCGGATATCGAGAAGAGACGACCTAGGCGGGTACCAAACAAATGTTCATACCTAACGATACCAAGGGTAAGACGTGAGGGTAGACAACCCATGGCTTAAACTTTGGGAAGTGAGGGTAGACAACCCATGGCTTAAACTTTGGGAAGTGAGGGTAGACAACC